CAAACCCACTCCTCCCCTTCCTTCTCAGCAACAGCTTGTCCCCTTCCTTCTCTCACCTCCACTGTGCCTTCCCCCTCCTCTCCCCCTTTCCCCTTACTTTCTCCTCTTGGCCCCCTGGCATTTGTCTCTTTTTTTCCAACCTGCCCCTTGGTGCCTTCCTCTTTCTTCTTCTGCCCTGACTCCCTCCTCTCCCCTTCCTTTCCTCTCTCCCACCTTCCTCTTAGTTTTCCCCCTGCCCCTTCCCTCACTTTCTGCCTTCCTGACACCTGCACTCTCTCTAGCCCCCTGGTGCCAGGGCCAGAAGCCACCATGCAGCCCTGGCTCCAGCTGCTCCCGGGCAGGACCGCGTAGCAGGCAGCTATTCCATGTGCTGGAGCCGGGGCTGCAGTGCTATTTTTAGTGCCCAGGCCCTGGCCCAGGAGCAGCTGCACTGTGGCCCGGCTCCCATCCTGGCACACAGGGCAGCTGCCCACCCCATGGCCCTATCCCGGGAGCAGTATGAAAAACAGCATTGCGGCCCCAGCTCCTGTCCCAGCACGTGGGATGCGCCAGGGCTGGGGCCGGGACCGCAGTACAGCTGCTCCTGGGCTGGGGCCGTGATGCTATTTTTAGTATCGTGGCCCAGGTTCCAGTTCCGGCAGCCACCATGTGGTCCACCCTGGCCATAGGTCCAACGCTGGCACAGGGTTGAAGCTGTTCCTGGGGTGAGGCAGCTGCCCCCCATGCAGCCCCTCCCTGGAGTAGCTGAGCAGCCACTGCATGGCTCTGTTAAGGAGGTGGGTGGGACTCAGATTGCTGGTGCGTTCCCGCACTGGTGCGCACTGTAGAGGGAACTATGTTAGTGGGTGATGGAGCCTTTTGCCTCTTGGCTCCCAGTGCTCATCTAGCCCTGCTCAGCCATAGCCGAAAGCTGCCAGATTGCTCAATGGACCTACTGGGAATAAGGTTCCTTGTCACAATTACTATTTAATTGGTGCCTTCTTGGAGGAATCCTTCCGTTTCCTTTGCTGCTGTTACAGCTCAGGCGTGTGGGTGGAGACCGAATCTACCTGAGCGATTGTCTGCCATTGAGCACCCACACTGTGTGTCATGCAGGTTGGCTCTGCCTCAGGAATCACTCTGTTTAGAGCCAGTATGTGTCCAGGATTTTCAGCTCATGCTATAGAGGTGCATGCTTCTAGATCCAGAGGTTCCAGGTCCAGTCCCTGCTGTGGGCAGCCCTCCCGTCAGCCTCATTGTGTTTGGAAAGCCTGTACCAACTACAGTGTAGCTGCGCCCTGCTGTGCATGTTCCCTACCACGGGTGGTGAAGGGCCAGTTCTCTAGAACACGTGGGATTGACAGGGACTGTTGTTACTCAGTGCCAGGGAGGAGGGGGTTGTCTCTCCAGAACAAACCTGAACTCTTGATAGAAAACCCAGTTTCTTGAAGTGTTTGTCCACTTTTGAGGAGTCCAACCCCGGGCGGTGCAGGGAGTAGAGCTAGAAATGTGCTTTGCCTGGCCGGGAAATCTGCTAGTTCTGGTTGTAAGCAGGTTGAATGAGTGAACAACTTCTCAGCTGAAGAGAGATCCCCTAATGTGAGCGTTGAGCAGGGTGAGGTCATTTGCAAGACAGGAGAAGTTTTCTCCTGGGGCTCCTTTAAGGGTCATTCGAGGGCTCCCACTCTTGATATGCACTTAGCATCTCACTGCAGATTATCTGGTCCAGGTTTAGTTTGTTTATGAATGACACTGCTGCTTCATGTGTGTTTTGCAGGTGATGTGTGTCCAGATCAAGTGTTTCCATGAGATTATCGATATTGGCTACAAAGTCTATCACTCCTATGAACTGCCCTGGTTCAGGACACTCAGTTGGTAAGCAGAACAGCTGCTGCATTCTTCATTGTTCTCCTTAACACTAATGTGATCCTTCACAATGCGCAAGCCGCCTTTCAGTGAGTGCTTCTGAATCACTGGGCGCCTTGCTGATGGGCTGCCTGCTGACAATGGGCGTGTTTTGCAATAATTCGAAATGTTCCATTGCTTCCCTGTTGCGAGCCAGGTCTGACTTGCAGTGTGCAGGCCGGGTGGTGGTGTAGGCTGTTTCCGATTGACACTGCGAATAAACATTTGATGTGTGGTTCCAGTCACATTGCTCATGCTAAGGGTGTAAGGAGCCACTTGGCTATCTACCCCTGAAATGTATTTGTGCATGGGGATAAAACTGAATTGGCGGCACCCATCATCTTTTGATGTAAGATCTGGCCTGCCACAGTGCAGAGTAGCTAGGAACTGGAGTAAACTGTTAAGCAGTGCCCCCTAAAGGCAAGAGTTCCTAAGCACCATAATACTAACCAAAACTGCACAGGGCTAATACCACAGCATAGGCACTTGCAGAGTGGAGCAATGGTTTCTACTAGGGCAGTCAGGCGATTCAAAAATTTAACCGTGATTAATCGCATGCAACTCCCCTTTGAATTGCTGCTACGGTGTTTCAAAGGGGAAGCACTTCATGGACCCCGGGATCAGCTGGGAACTCCAGCTGATCCTGGACTTCATGCAGTGCTGCCCCTTGGAAGCACCAGGACAGCATTTCCAAGGGGCAGTGCAAGGTGGAGCCTGGGGTCAGCTGGAGTTCCCGGCTGACCCCAGGCTCAATGCAGCGCTGCCCCTTTAAGGCACTGGAGCAGCACTTCAAAGAAGCTCCTCCTTGCAAAGCTTTGCAACAGGGGAGCCAGGGATCAGCTGGAGTCTCCAGCTGATCCCTGGCTCCGCTTGTGCTGCCCCTTTGAAGTGTCGTTTTGGTGCTTTAAAGGGTCATAGAATCATTGAGCTGGAAGAGACCTCAGGAGGTCATCGAGTCCAGCCTCCTGCCCAAGGCAGGACCAATCCCAACTAAATCAACCCAGCCAGGGCTTTGTCAAGCCGAGACTTAAAAACCTCTAGGGATGGAGACTCCACCCTGTCCCTAGGGAACCCATCCCAGTGCTTCACCGCCCTTCTAATATCCACCCTAGACCTCCCCCACTGCAACTTGAGACCTTTGCTCCTTGTTCTGCCATCCGTCACTACTGTGAACAGCCTTTCTCCATCCTCTTTGGAACCCCCCTTCAGGAAGCTGAAGGCTGCTATCAAATCCCCCCTCACTTCTCTTGTGCAGACTAAACAAACCAAAATCCCTCATTCTCTCCTCATAGGTCATGTGCTCCAGCCCCCTAATCATTTTGGTTGCCCTCAGCTGAACCCTCTCCAGTACGTCCACATCCTTTCTATAGTGGGGGGCCCAGAACTGGGCGCAATACTCCAGATGTGGCCTCACCAGAGCCAAATAAAGGGGAGTAATCACGTCTCTAGATCTGCTGGCCATGCTCCTCCAAATGCACCCTAACATGCCATTAGTCATCTTGGCTACAAGGGCACCCTGTTGACTCATATCCAGCTCGTTAGGAGCCAGGAATCGGCTGGAAACTCTAGCTGATCCCCGGCTGTGTTGCAAAGCCCCTTTGAAGTGCCAGAGCAGCATTAATGCCTGCGGTTAATGCATTAATTTTTTTAACCATAAATCCTGTCCTGTGTTAATCGCAAGCATTAACGCAGGTCAGTTGACAGTCCTAGTATCTACATAAAGTTGTAGTGGTTTGATCCAAAGAGATGTGAATACTTGATTTGTCTTCCCCACTTGCTGTAAGGTTCCTTCACTCTGCCTGTGCCATCTTAGTGTAGATCTGAAGCAGGCCCTCCCCCTCTCCTTGTGTTGTGAATGGGGGTGAATTGTCTGCAGATTTGAGTAGAAATCATCATTCTATAGCCCAGTATGTGAACCCCAGCACACAGTGTAGCTATTGCGATCTGATAATTACTCTTACAGGCTTCTCTACCGTCACAGTGTCTGTAGATTCCTATTAAAGGGAATGTGCCTCTGTTCGCAGGTACTTTCTGCTGTGCGTAAACTACTTTTTCTATGGCGAGACAGTAACGGATTACTTTTTCACCCTGGTTCAGAGAGAGGAGCCCTTGAGAATTCTCAGCAAATACCATCGCTTCATTTCCTTCGCCCTCTACTTAACAGGTAACTTTACTTTGGTTCCACCCATTAACACTTCTGCTGTTGCAGGATTTTAGCATGGGATATGTCATCAGCCTCTTGATATAGAACTTTTTCCCCCTGCAGGCACATAGGGCTCCAATATATGAAATGTCCAGTGTTCCCTGTATGCTGAGCGCTTGGGTGGCCACCCAGGAGAGATTCAAATGCTGCTTAGCGGAGTGCCCACAGCTGGCAACGTGTGTCTACTGGTGGTGCATGTCTGCACGTGCCTTGGTGCACATAAGACAATTTATTTTGCACATGGATGGGGGGATAAAAATGGAACATTGGAAGTGTGTCCTTAGTGGATTACAAATGAGGGACTGCTTGATCTTGGGCCTCTTAGTGCCTCTGCTCCTCGCCAGTAGAAGGGCGATACTAGCAATTTGCCCTCTCATAGCTTGTGAGCTGCTTGGTTCTATAGGGGTGGGGAGCCTTGTATCTAAGGTGGAAGTGGCTTTAGCCTGGCCATGAAAGACAGCCTACAAAATAGGGAGTAAGTGGTTTGAGAGCAGCAGTGTTGTTGCCAGCTGTGGGCGCTCTGCTAATCAGCTGGGTGGCATTTGAATCTCTCCTGGATGGCCGCCCAGGCACTTAGTGTTTTTTGTTTTCTCGTCTGATTTACTGAGGGAAAGTCATATCCTCCTTTCTTTTGCTGAAGATTGACTGAGGGTCCCTCCATTCCAGCAAATAGGATCTGGTGTAGGTCAGGTGTTAGTTTAAATAACTGACACACTCCGGAGATTCAGTTTACATTAACATGATGCTTGCTTTTGAGCTTTCCTCTCCTCCTTTCCTTTTGCCTCCCCTAGTGTCCTCTTTCCCCTCCCCCCCCAGTCCTAGCATTCCCATGCTTCATGAATGTGGTGGTGATAGGGCAAGAGACTCTGTCCTGAAGCAATATTCCTCTTTCTGTCGGCGTGGGATAGTTGTTAGTCAATATCTTCATGAACAACAAGGAATTCTGTAGCACCCTGTTACTCCTCATTTGCCTACCTAGCTCGAATTAATGAGCCAGTGGAGACATACCCTAACAGATTTATTTGGGCATAAGCTTTCATGGGCAAAACCCATTAATGCATCTGATGAAGTAGGTTTTTGCCCTTGAAAGCTTATATCTAAATAAACCTGTTAGGGTATGTCTACACTAGCTCGTTAATTCGAGCTAGGTAGGCAAATGAGGAGTAACAGGGTGCTACAGAATTCCTTGTTGTTCATGAAGATATTGACTAACAACTATCCCACGCCGACAGAAAGAGGAATATTGCTTCAGGACAGAGTCTCTTGCCCTATCACCACCACATTCATGAAGCATGGGAATGCTAGGACTGGGGGGGGAGGGGAAAGAGGACACTAGGGGAGGCAAAAGGAAAGGAGGAGAGGAAAGCTCAAAAGCAAGCATCATGTTAAATTCCCCTTTCTGTTGACCTGCTACATGCAGCCTTAACCCAGGCTTCCTTCATAGTTCTAGGCCAGATGTGACACTCACCTGCCTTGAAACAAGTCAAAAGTGAAGCAGCAGAGCTCTCGTTGGCTTTCAGTTTTTTCAGTGATTCCTTTTGAGGTTCAGACATGTCTGTTGTGAACTGGATCAACACCTGCCTAATTGTGTGGTAGCTTCAGAGGGTAGCCGAGTTAGTCTGTACAGGATAAACTTAAGAAACAACAAATGGTCTGGTAGCACTTTATAAACTAACAAAACATGGAGATGGTATCATGAGCCTCTGATGCAAAGCTACAGTCCTCTTTGATGCTACTTTCTTTGGCCAGTGACTGGCAGAATAATTGAAACTTCCACCCTTTCCCCTCTGTACTAGCCTTGCAAAGTTGTATTTGACCAGTTATTATATTTAGATGTGTGTACATATGATCCTTTGTCTTTCATTCTGGCGAGGGTGAGTAAACTTGTCTTCGCTAGTACATTTTCATGGAAATTCTGCAACACTGCTCCAAACCTAGGGTAACTCTGCTGTCAGTGTAAACTATGCAGTGGCAAATTCTGAATAAACTGAAGATCTATTTTTAACTGCTCCTTTCTGATGATTAAATGGAGGTGTTCTCTCCCTGCTAGCTAGCTCACTGAGTCATGAATCCTTAGGATGGCATTCCAGCTAGAAATGGAGAGGCATGTGTTAAGTGTGGTGCTCTGGTTTCTAGTGGTCTTTGCCACATGGTATCTCCAGTGGGTATCATTTTGTGATGTCTGGAGGCTGGTGAAAATGGGGAGAGGGAGGGTAGGAGCTAAGCAGGGTTATCCAGAGACCATAAAACACTTACAAATTTAACCGGCAAACAAACTATCTAAAGAGCTCTCCTCTCACTGTAGAAATGCAGCCAGCTCTGGGTGGAGGGGGAACGCAGCAGCTAATTAAGAGTTCAGTGCCATTGAAGAGGTAAGTGCAGAATCCTCTGTAGTTGATACTACATTGGAAGGAGCTAAACAGTCTAACTTTCCTAGGGGGGAATCATGGTTAGTTGGGTACAAGACCCTGGTTTTGTTCTGTTTTAGAATTTCCCTTGTGCATGTGCCGTGCACATCACCCTCATGTTGCTGCCTCTTCTGTAGCAGAAACGATAAGGAGATGCTGCAGTGATATGGCAGACGTAATGGAAAATTGGGGCATTTCCTACTAGTGCAAGGTCTGATCATCTTCTCTTCTCTTCCCACAAGGCTTCTGCATGTTTGTCTTGAGTCTGGTGAAGAAGCATTACCGTCTTCAGTTCTATATGGTAAGTGTCAATACACGCCTCTGCTGCTCCAGAGCTATTCGCACTGGGAGACAGAGGGCATTTGCATACGTGGGTTAGAAGAACACAAGCCTGTAAATGCGCCTGTGCCCCCTGGGCATTGCAATGCTGCTTAATGGGAAAGCTATTCCTGGCCGCTTACAGCATTTGGCATAAGGCTCTCAAATGGACTCACTTCCTTAGACGTGTGAATTCCACTGTCTGCATTTGCAGTGTTTCATAGTAACCCTTTCAGGTGTGGGAGCGAAAATGATTGTACAAGGCTGTTCAGACTTTGCCTTGAGAGTGTTGATAGACTAACTCCTCCAGGCAATCTGCCCAACTACAATACAGCAATGCATGGACTGGCCACGTGTGTCCTTTAAGGGGATGTTTTTGCTTCCTCGTGGATGCAGGTTCTGAGATAGATCGGGGGTTCTCAAGTGGAGGGTCATGACCAGTATTCCCTCTCAGATTTTTCCATCCTTGGGTGGGTTGAAATTTCTTATGTGCACCACCAATATTGAGGTAGTGTGTGGATGTGCACCCACCAGTACAAACAGAAACCACAGATCTAAAGATATATTTAAATAGTCAATAGGTGTGTGTTACGGGGTCCACAGGCCCACCCCGCCCAGGGCAGCCACACTACCACGGTTGCCGCCCCGGAAGGTCCCAGTCTCCGTGACGCGGCGCCGGGTCGACCCTCCCGGCGGTTGCCCAGAAGGTCCCACGAGCAAGGAGGTGAGGGGGGTCCGGGCCCTCCCTCTCTCCAGACCCCAGCCCAGGGCCCTAAGGCAGGGGAGATGCTCTTCTCTCCCCCGACCTGGCTGATGGGGCACAGAGCCGCAACGCATCAACCCTCGGGCTCCAGTACACCCGCCCTGGGCTGCTTCCTCACGCCCTCGCTCGTCCGCTCACCAGCTGGCTGGTCTCGCCGCCTCCTCAGTGTCTCTCAGTCTCTGTCCCTCTGCTTCTGCTCCTACTGGCTTTATACCTGGGGAAGGTGCCGCCCCCGCCCCTCCAGAGCACCCACACCTATGTTCATCCAAGGCTCCAGCTTCTCCTCCCCAGCTGTTTCCCCTCACCCCCAGCATCCTCCCTGTTTCCCGCAGCTGTGGAGCATAGGGCTGGCTGGGGGCATCCGCGGGGCTGCCCGCCCCGAGGCAGGTGGGGTGCCGTTCCTTCCCCGTTGTCCCTGCTAACCTTGCCGCGGGGGGTCCTTCCCCCGCGATGTCCCGGGCTGCGTCCCTGGAGCCGCCAGCCAGGCGGCGTGTCCCTGCTGCCCCACTGCCTGCGTCCCCGGCGGCGGCGGGCCCAGCCCCACGGGGCCCTCCTCGGTGCGGGGTTGCCTCACCCCGTCACCGCCCTCCCCTGTGTTGCTCGGGGTCCCGCCCGCTCGCCCGCCTGCCGAGCGGCGCGTCCCGGTTACCCCACCGGACGCGTCCTCGGCGGCGGCGAGAAAAGCCGCGCCGCTTTCCCCTGCCTCGCTGGGGGGGGCCCCTTTAGTGCGGGGTTGCCTCGCCCCGTCACAGTGTGGAAGTAAATATATTATAACAAAGGATAATTTAAAAAGGAGCGATGCTTATGATTTTTTAATGGGAAATCAAATAAAGAAAATTTACACTACCCTTGTCTGAAGAAGTGGGTTGTGCCCACGAGAACTCATGATACAGTTCGGCAGAAAAGGACCCGGGGATTACAGTGGCTGGGAAGCTGGATACGAGTCAACATGTGGATGCATTGGAGAGGGTCCAGCGGAGGGCAACCAAAATAAGGGGGCTGGAGCACATGACCTCTGAGTAGAAGCTGAAGGATTTGGGCTTATGTAGTCTGCAGAAGAGAAGGCTGAGGGGGGATTTGAGAGCAGCCTTCAACTACCTGAAGGGAGGTTCCGAAGAGGATGGAGAGAGGCTGGTCTCAGTAGTGGCAGATGGCAGAACAAGGAGCCATGGTCTCAAGTTACAGTGGGGGAGGTCTAGGTCGGAAATTAGGAAAAACTATTCCACTAGGAGGGTGGTGAAGCACTGGAATGGGTCACCGAGGGAGGTGGTGGAATCTCCATCCCTAGAGGTTTTTAAGTCCCCACTTTACAAAGCCCTGGCTGGGATGATTTAGTTGGGATTGGTCCTGTTTTGGGCAGGGGGCTGGACTTGATGACTCCTGAGGTCTCTTCCAGCCCTGGGATTCTAGGATTCTCTGTTCTTGTTCGTCTAAGATGCTATAGGACCATTGTTGTTTTTGAAGATTTTGTTTGTTTGGGTTTTTTTTAAGTTACCAACTAACATGGCTTCCCCTCTGAGATCTTGGAAAACAAGTATCCTCAACCTTTCTAACAGACAGATGCGTGTTTCAAAGATCTTGCAAATAAGGTTTCATCCTATAAAACAGCTAGTGTCACACCTAGTCCTTGCTGCTTCTGACTCATAAGAGCTAGAACTCTACCAGATAGCAAAAAACTGGCCTTAATGCAATACAGATTACCATGTATTAATTAATAACATGGGATTTAAAAAAATCTTTAAGATCTGAGTTTGATACCTGCAACACTAAAAAAAAATTCTGTTAAAAGAATCTTTCTTTCTTTCTTACCTTAAACCATTAACACCAGGATGGGCAATAATTTTTGATGGGGGGGCCACTCCAAGAATTTGGTAAGCAGTCGAGGGCTGCACTCTTTCATGATATTAATGGAGGAAGTGCGGGTAAGGGATTGGGGTGTGGAATCTGGGAGGGAGTTTGGGTGAAGTAGGGGATTGTAACCTGGGGCAACAGAGTGGGGTGCACGGTCTGGGAGGGGGGGTTGTGATCTAGCGCAGGAGGGGGTGCAGGGATTTGGGCTGTGACCAGGAATAGTGGATTGGGGTGCAAGGTCTGGGAGGGGGTTGTGACCTGAGGTGGGATATAGGAGGGGATCCAGTATCTGGGAGCTGGAGCAGGGGTACAGAAGGTTTGGGTTACATAGGATAGGGGGGCAGATGGGCTGGGGTGTCAGAGGCAGGCTCTAGCTGGGAGACTTTACCAGGGTGACGTGCATCTGACGAAGTGGGTCTTTGCCCATGAAAGCTTATGCTCCAACACTTCAGTTAGGCTGTAAGGTGCCACAGGACTCCTCGCTGCTTTCGCAGATTCAGACTAACACGGCTACCCCTCTGATACTTTACCAGGCTGACAGCTAGCAACCCAGCAGGCTCCTTAGCCAGGATCCCTGCCTTCTAGCCCCTGGCTCATGGGAGCTGCAGGAGCCATGTTTATTGTTCTAAAAACTGAATGCTGTGAGCCCAGGGGATGAGGCTGACAGCTAGCAACCCAGCAGGCTCCTTAGCCAGGATCCCTGCCTTCTAGCCCCTGGCTCATGGGAGCTGCAGGAGCCATGTTTATTGTTCTAAAAACTGAATGCTGTGAGCCCAGGGGATGAGGGAGGAGGGGCACTTCACATGCTTCCATTGGCCGGTTTCAGGCAGCTACTGGGGGTAGGGGCAGCATGAGAAGCCTGTCTCCCCTCCCGCCAGGCTCTCAGCATTCAGAAACACACATGTGGCCCTGCACCCAGCTTTCTTGAGTGCTGAGCTGGTGCGGGGCAGGCAGGGAGCCAGCTGAGGCTCTCATGTCTGGATCCGGCCCACAGATCAGCTTTTGCCCAGCCCTAGAGTAGAGGCTGGAGTCAGCTTCTCCATTTATAGCAGGCAGCAGCTGCTGCTGCTGCTCCTCTGAGAGGGTGAGTGCTCCGCCTCCCCTTCTCACCCGATCAGCTGAGCTCCCTGCCTGCATGGGGACACTGAACCTCTGCGCGGGGCTCAGAAAGGGCTGTGCGCCCATACAGGCATGCAGCTTACAGGGACCTCAGTCATGATCCCCCAGGGGTTGGAAAGTTATTACATGGGGAAGTTGCAAGCTGTTGGCCCAACCCCAGGCCTTGCTTTGCCTCAAGCATTTCTAGTAGTGTTAGATATTTAAAAAGTGTTTTTCACTGTATAAGGTGGAGGGGTCGCCCTCCTAGGTTTGCTGTTCTAAACCGAGCATCACTGGACTAGATGGTCCATCATCCAATTGGGCATTTTTTAGTTCCCTTTCTTTAGTCAAAGCAGACTAAGACCTGGGATAGGCATGGGCTAAAGGACAGCCGTGGATGTTGCACATCCTCCCACTCAGATTCCAAACTGTAATGAAGATGTTGCTCTACTTATTCCCAAGTGAAGGTGCACGCTGCCTTCCAGCTTTGTGTTTACATGCTCTTCCCATGCGGGATCGGGGTGCATGAGTTGCAACCTGCCCTAAGCAGTATTTGTCGCTGTCCGGTTTCTGTCGCGGGCTGGGATGAGAAATGACTCTTGGCAAACTGGGCTGCACGCTGTTTTCTCTTCCAGTTCGGCTGGACCCACGTGACCTTGCTCATTGTTGTTACCCAGTCGCACCTAATCATTCACAACCTGTTTGAAGGAATGATCTGGTGAGTGGGTGCCTGTTCTGCGTTATGCTGATTCGTGTTGCATAGTACGTGCTGTGGCTATCTCCCTGCTATGGTGGTTTCAACTAAAACTTTTAACCAGCTAGGTTAAGATGTGCTGCCCAGAAGCGACTACCTCGTGCCTTGCATAAGAGAGCCAAACCATGGGGCCCTTTTTATATTTGCGCCGCTCCGTGCAGGTAGAGCCGCCAGGAAGCTGTTCTAAAGGGACAGCTGGCCAGGCCTCTGGCACTGAGGCATCAAGCAAGTGTAGCTGCCTTTGTCATCCTCACTCAGAGGGGGTGAGTGTGGAGAGTTGGAGGGGATCCCTGTGAGGCAGCTGCAGTCAGTGTAACTTAAAGCAGCCACCAGTTAGAAAGGGGAGAGATGGGGAAGGGTAAAAAGATGACTTCATAACCAGCCACTCCTTGGCTTCTTTGTTTCTCACAGCAGCAATAATGAAAGTACTTTACAGTGCTGATAAAACACTGTAGAGTGTGCATTCTGAGGCATTCTCACTTGCTTATCACTGAAATGCAGCTACTTCTGGGGTGGATCGCGGTGACTGTTCTAACAGCCCGCTGTGTGTTAGAGTGAGCATGGAACACCACAAAGTAGAGCTCTGAGAGGGCCGTGGGGTGTGTACGTTAGCATAGTGAGTGTCTGATTCAGTGTAGCCATATCAAACTTTCTGCTGGTCAGGTGGTGTCCAGTTCTGTCACATATTGCGGTTAAGGTTGAAATGACTGCTGTGGGTGTGCTACTTCTGAATGGTTTCTCCCTCCTTCCTTCCAGGTTCATTGTCCCGATTTCATGTGTGATCTGCAATGACATCATGGCCTATATGTTTGGGTTTTTCTTTGGCCGCACGCCACTCATCAAGGTTTGTCAAATGTACAAAGCCCTGCCATCAAGCTCTGTTGTTGTGGAGACTTGACCCAAGACTGGGCCAGCCTGAGATAGTGGTGTTAACTGCTATGAGTTAAGGATGAGACTTTTCAAAAGGAACTTGAGGGAATTAGGAGCCCTTTGCATTTGGATCCCAGCCTGACAACTTGCCACCCATCAGCCACAGTTTGCAAAGACTACTGGTGGAAACTCTGAAGGAAACTTCAGGGCTTGCGTGTCATTTGGGCTGTAATGCTCCCCTTACAGTCCTGATCCAACATCTGTTGATCCAGCCCTTGTTTAAGTTCTGTCCCCGTCCCCAGCGCTGCATGCTAGTGTCAAAATACACTGTTTCCTACAAAGGTTGAGGTTAGTTGTCTGGTGAGGTTCTCTGGGAGTGTGGCCCTGTCCAGTGCAGTGTGCGCTGGCTGACTACATAAATAGAGGATGAGATTTGGAAGTGGCTCTTCTGTATCACAACAGATGCAAGCTGGAAGACTTTTTTCCTTGAAAAAGGTAGGGAGAATAATTATGCTCAGTCTGCATTGAGAACAGCTTTGCATTGTGATGAGAAAATGTCAAACTAATGGTACTGAATATTGTATTATAGAAAAACATCCTTTGTATTTCTTGCACTCTGGGCTAAGCCATAAAATGCTTAGGCAAATCTTTTCCAGGAATACTCTTCAGTGGGTTGAGTATCTCGCAGGCTACCAGACATTTCCTTTCTGGGCGGAGGGCGTGTATAGTTCTGTATCTGACAGCCCAAAGTTGTAATATTTCAAATACGTGCCTTGCCAAGATTCTGTTCAAGGTAGTTCTGTTGCAGTGCCTGGCCTCTGCACTTCCTGGTGGCTGTGAGGCAGGTGATGTGCCTGCCCTCCCTTTCCCGGTCAGCAAGAGTGTCAGGTCAGAGGGAGGGAGTGAGGCTGTGCCTCGCCATCTGTATGTACTGGCTTAGCCTGGGCTGGAAGTCACGGTCTGGGGGTATTGGCTGATGTGTGAGTTCTGTGGTGGAGGTGGGCATTGGATTTGCGGAGCTTTTGGGGTGGGTTTTTAGGATAGCTTTGAATATATTTTCTTTTTGTATCTGCAGCTTTCCCCAAAGAAGACCTGGGAGGGTTTTATTGGCGGCTTCTTTGCCACTGTTCTGTTCGGACTGTTGGTAAGTAGATTGCAATGGCATTTAATTGGCTTTCTCTACAGAATAAAGACAGACAGTGCTGTCTGTTTGCTGAGCCTAAGGGGAGAGCGTTGTGCTCTCTTCGTCCCAGTTTGTCCTGTGAAGTTTTTACAGTGGGCTTTAAACCAACTTCTTCTGCCTTCCAGGGATGAAGACTCAAACCCACTGCTGAGAAATCGCTTTGTAGCTTGCAGCCCTTGATGTTCATAGACCTATAACACCCAGACTCCATAGGATCCCCCAGTGCCACCCTGTATGTCTATACAACACTGTGGAAATGCAGCTACCTCTGGGGTGGCAGCGCACAGGCTACATGATAAGCAAGGCCACAAGCAGATGGGCAGTCATGGCAGTTGGTGCAAGAGACGCTTCAGTCTCTGTGTGGAGCAGATGAGACCTGTGTTTTCAGGGTCTCCTCTGGAAGAACTACAGTGGGAGCTCCATTGCATGCCATGTTTCCTGTCTAATGTTGATGGGAGGAGTGTGGGTCTGTCAGGATCTGAACACACTCTAAGGGGGATAGGCTGAGTTCTGTGAACTTTAGCTCCTCTGAGAGGGTGAGTGCTCCGCCTCCCCTTCTCACCCGATCAGCTGAGCTCCCTGCCTGCATGGGGACACTGAACCTCTGCGCGGGGCTCAGAAAGGGCTGTGCGCCCATACAGGCATGCAGCTTACAGGGACCTCAGTCATGATCCCCCAGGGGTTGGAAAGTTATTACATGGGGAAGTTGCAAGCTGTTGGCCCAACCCCAGGCCTTGCTTTGCCTCAAGCATTTCTAGTAGTGTTAGATATTTAAAAAGTGTTTTTCACTGTATAAGGTGGAGGGGTCGCCCTCCTAGGTTTGCTGTTCTAAACCGAGCATCACTGGACTAGATGGTCCATCATCCAATTGGGCATTTTTTAGTTCCCTTTCTTTAGTCAAAGCAGACTAAGACCTGGGATAGGCATGGGCTAAAGGACAGCCGTGGATGTTGCACATCCTCCCACTCAGATTCCAAACTGTAATGAAGATGTTGCTCTACTTATTCCCAAGTGAAGGTGCACGCTGCCTTCCAGCTTTGTGTTTACATGCTCTTCCCATGCGGGATCGGGGTGCATGAGTTGCAACCTGCCCTAAGCAGTATTTGTCGCTGTCCGGTTTCTGTCGCGGGCTGGGATGAGAAATGACTCTTGGCAAACTGGGCTGCACGCTGTTTTCTCTTCCAGTTCGGCTGGACCCACGTGACCTTGCTCATTGTTGTTACCCAGTCGCACCTAATCATTCACAACCTGTTTGAAGGAATGATCTGGTGAGTGGGTGCCTGTTCTGCGTTATGCTGATTCGTGTTGCATAGTACGTGCTGTGGCTATCTCCCTGCTATGGTGGTTTCAACTAAAACTTTTAACCAGCTAGGTTAAGATGTGCTGCCCAGAAGCGACTACCTCGTGCCTTGCATAAGAGAGCCAAACCATGGGGCCCTTTTTATATTTGCGCCGCTCCGTGCAGGTAGAGCCGCCAGGAAGCTGTTCTAAAGGGACAGCTGGCCAGGCCTCTGGCACTGAGGCATCAAGCAAGTGTAGCTGCCTTTGTCATCCTCACTCAGAGGGGGTGAGTGTGGAGAGTTGGAGGGGATCCCTGTGAGGCAGCTGCAGTCAGTGTAACTTAAAGCAGCCACCAGTTAGAAAGGGGAGAGATGGGGAAGGGTAAAAAGATGACTTCATAACCAGCCACTCCTTGGCTTCTTTGTTTCTCACAGCAGCAATAATGAAAGTACTTTACAGTGCTGATAAAACACTGTAGAGTGTGCATTCTGAGGCATTCTCACTTGCTTATCACTGAAATGCAGCTACTTCTGGGGTGGATCGCGGTGACTGTTCTAACAGCCCGCTGTGTGTTAGAGTGAGCATGGAACACCACAAAGTAGAGCTCTGAGAGGGCCGTGGGGTGTGTACGTTAGCATAGTGAGTGTCTGATTCAGTGTAGCCATATCAAACTTTCTGCTGGTCAGGTGGTGTCCAGTTCTGTCACATATTGCGGTTAAGGTTGAAATGACTGCTGTGGGTGTGCTACTTCTGAATGGTTTCTCCCTCCTTCCTTCCAGGTTCATTGTCCCGATTTCATGTGTGATCTGCAATGACATCATGGCCTATATGTTTGGGTTTTTCTTTGGCCGCACGCCACTCATCAAGGTTTGTCAAATGTACAAAGCCCTGCCATCAAGCTCTGTTGTTGTGGAGACTTGACCCAAGACTGGGCCAGCCTGAGATAGTGGTGTTAACTGCTATGAGTTAAGGATGAGACTTTTCAAAAGGAACTTGAGGGAATTAGGAGCCCTTTGCATTTGGATCCCAGCCTGACAACTTGCCACCCATCAGCCACAGTTTGCAAAGACTACTGGTGGAAACTCTGAAGGAAACTTCAGGGCTTGCGTGTCATTTGGGCTGTAATGCTCCCCTTACAGTCCTGATCCAACATCTGTTGATCCAGCCCTTGTTTAAGTTCTGTCCCCGTCCCCAGCGCTGCATGCTAGTGTCAAAATACACTGTTTCCTACAAAGGTTGAGGTTAGTTGTCTGGTGAGGTTCTCTGGGAGTGTGGCCCTGTCCAGTGCAGTGTGCGCTGGCTGACTACATAAATAGAGGATGAGATTTGGAAGTGGCTCTTCTGTATCACAACAGATGCAAGCTGGAAGACTTTTTTCCTTGAAAAAGGTAGGGAGAATAATTATGCTCAGTCTGCATTGAGAACAGCTTTGCATTGTGATGAGAAAATGTCAAACTAATGGTACTGAATATTGTATTATAGAAAAACATCCTTTGTATTTCTTGCACTCTGGGCTAAGCCATAAAATGCTTAGGCAAATCTTTTCCAGGAATACTCTTCAGTGGGTTGAGTATCTCGCAGGCTACCAGACATTTCCTTTCTGGGCGGAGGGCGTGTATAGTTCTGTATCTGACAGCCCAAAGTTGTAATATTTCAAATACGTGCCTTGCCAAGATTCTGTTCAAGGTAGTTCTGTTGCAGTGCCTGGCCTCTGCACTTCCTGGTGGCTGTGAGGCAGGTGATGTGCCTGCCCTCCCTTTCCCGGTCAGCAAGAGTGTCAGGTCAGAGGGAGGGAGTGAGGCTGTGCCTCGCCATCTGTATGTACTGGCTTAGCCTGGGCTGGAAGTCACGGTCTGGGGGTATTGGCTGATGTGTGAGTTCTGTGGTGGAGGTGGGCATTGGATTTGCGGAGCTTTTGGGGTGGGTTTTTAGGATAGCTTTGAATATATTTTCTTTTTGTATCTGCAGCTTTCCCCAAAGAAGACCTGGGAGGGTTTTATTGGCGGCTTCTTTGCCACTGTTCTGTTCGGACTGTTGGTAAGTAGATTGCAATGGCATTTAATTGGCTTTCTCTACAGAATAAAGACAGACAGTGCTGTCTGTTTGCTGAGCCTAAGGGGAGAGCGTTGTGCTCTCTTCGTCCCAGTTTGTCCTGTGAAGTTTTTACAGTGGGCTTTAAACCAACTTCTTCTGCCTTCCAGGGATGAAGACTCAAACCCACTGCTGAGAAATCGCTTTGTAGCTTGCAGCCCTTGATGTTCATAGACCTATAACACCCAGACTCCATAGGATCCCCCAGTGCCACCCTGTATGTCTATACAACACTGTGGAAATGCAGCTACCTCTGGGGTGGCAGCGCACAGGCTACATGATAAGCAAGGCCACAAGCAGATGGGCAGTCATGGCAGTTGGTGCAAGAGACGCTTCAGTCTCTGTGTGGAGCAGATGAGACCTGTGTTTTCAGGGTCTCCTCTGGAAGAACTACAGTGGGAGCTCCATTGCATGCCATGTTTCCTGTCTAATGTTGATGGGAGGAGTGTGGGTCTGTCAGGATCTGAACACACTCTAAGGGGGATAGGCTGAGTTCTGTGAACTTTACCCTGTCTGAAGGGGGAGGGGGATTTGTAGCTAGACGCCACGGTGGCTCTGCTTGGACACTAGTGATGCACCAGGTCGCTTTGACACACAGTAGTTTGGCCCTTGTCTAGGCTGAGGCTTTGTCTTTTCATGTGGCTGCTGGTCATGCAGGAGGCCACAGTGTTTTGGTGGGTGCTGAGGTGTCAGCAGAAATTTTTGGGCTCCTCTACAATGATGGCTTTGCAGGCATCTGATGGGGGAGGCAGAGGGAGCAATTTCCCTGGGGCCCGGCAATTCAAAGAGGCCCGGGGCTCTGACTATTCCACAGTTAGTGGTGGCTGCCAGAGCCCAGACCCTTGAAATTGCTGCTGCTGCTGCACTGTGCGTTCCAGAACCCCGTGCTGTACATTCCAGGCAACGCTGCGGGGGGAGGGGAGCACACTCCAGGCAACGCTGCGGGGGGGGAAGGGGGGGAGAGCATGCTCCAGGCAGTGCGAAGGGCCAGCTGCTCTTGGCCTTTCCCCTTTCGGGACCACAGAGGTGCACCCCCTTTGCTCAGGGCTTGCTGAGGCTGTTGACTCTGCTACTGTTCTGTAGTACCTGCCTCAAGGTTGCATGGGGAACTCAGTGCTCTGTCCCCCAGGAGGGCACGTTCAATAGCTGTGCAGTTGCTCAGAGGCCTGAGGGAGCTGAAGACAAGTTCCAGGATTGTCCCAGTTTGCTAGGGTGTGTTAAAGGATTCTCTGCCTTGATCATGTAATGATTCTGATCGCTGCCTTCTGAGCTGATGTATATGAAGAGAAGCTGCTTATCATGCCGCCAGCTAATTTAGTGCTTTGCAAGAGTAAGCTTCTTAATGAACCAAGGATGTGCTGACTCACAGCCCTGAAATCTCAGCTATCTCACTTACGGGGTGTCTTGTATCTGAACCATCCTGATGAGGCTCAGATGCCCCAATCTGTATTTTCTGTTATAGTGTGCTGCAGGATTTTAGCACATTGCAACACACAAAAATATATTCTAGATTGTTACTTTTCTTCCCCAAGAGATTCAGAAATGATGGGAAGGAGAAAAACAAGGATGCTTAGGAAGGTAGCAATCCAAGATGAGAGGCAGGGACAGCAATAAACATGGGGCCACAGGAAAAACCCTTTTGGTAGCTGGGTGCATAAGGAAAAATTACCAGAGCTGGTAAGGGAGTCCCACAGCTAATTCCCATCATCCCTGTAGCCAGCCAAGCTATGCTGTGAATTTTAAGTTGTCTGAATCCATTGAGGTTTTCTTTTACTTGCCTTTTCTGCTTCCCACCCTCTTCCCCTCTCACAATCAAGCTGTCGTATGTGATGTCTGGATACCGGTGCTTCATCTGTCCAGTGGAATTCAATAACGACTCCAACAGCTTCACTGTGGATTGCGAGCCATCTGAGCTGTTCCAGCTGCAAGAATATAACATCCCCCTGGTGATGCAGCCTGTCACCGGCTGGGTAGGACTCTGAATGGGTGTTCTCAATTATGGATCGCTTTGCAATAGCCACTAAAAAGGGACAGGTTAACTGGCAATGCCCAGGAAAGAGGAGATTAGCATAAGGTTCTACAAAGGAATGCAGCAGGGGGTAACTGGATGAAACTGAACAAGGAAAATGTAGGCTTCCGATCCAGAGATGTTCCCCTAACAGTGAGAGTAGGTGAAAGCTAGATTTCTTAAGTTAGGTAAGACTAAGTTGGACAGAGCCCAGGAGAACATATTGCAGGGAGCAGTCTTAAGCTGAGAGAGGTGGGCAGGCTGACTTGAAAGAGCCCTTTCAGCTGTGTATTTGTGAACCAAGAAGGTGCCCAGCAGAATAGACAATTACAGGAGTATCTGGGACCTTCAGTCATAGAACAGGACCCTGTTGCGTAAGGTGCTGTACAAACACAGAACAAATGCAATCCATGACACCAAGAAGCTTACAACCTCAGCACGAGACCAGAGACAACAGATAGACAGACAGGAGAGGGAATATAAGGAAATGGTGACAAAATTGGCCAGATATATTCTTGGCTTTGCTCTGATGTCAAGCAGGGATGAATTGAGGTACAGTAGAAGTGAGAGATTTGTCTTCATAGGTTTGTGTTTCAATAGAGAGAAATCAACACAGAGGTCAAGTTTTCTAAAAGCAACTACAGACTTTGTGTGCCTGACTTTAAGGGTCTGAGTTTGAGGGAAGATGCACGGCATGTTCTGAAAATCTGACACCTCAACCTTTGGTCTTCCAAAGTCACTAGTTATGCCAAAATCTTGAAGTTGGATCTTAGAAAGGCAGGATAAAGCTAGATTGCAAATGAAGCACAATGCCTTTCTCTGATCCTTCTCCCACTTTAACCCTCCTTGTCTGCAGAAAACAGTCCGGATGTATCCCTTCCAGATCCACAGCATTGCTCTCTCCACGTTTGCTTCCCTCATTGGGCCCTTTGGAGGATTCTTCGCTAGTGGGTTTAAGAGAGCCTTCAAAATCAAGGTAGGCTATGGGTAGCCCCCTCCTGGAAAGTCAGGTATCGCACAAGAGCTAACATGCTTGATTGTCACCCCCATAAACTGTATTGCAGGTAAGAGGATGGTGAGTTTGGAGGGGGTTTCCTGACCCTGTTGTGGGGAAAGAGGAGGGCAGTTCTCGTGGGGTCATAAAACACAATAGTGAAAGCATTAGCAATGATGCAACGTCCAGGCAGAGAAACTGAGTTTCTGGACTTGCAGATACGCCACGAGCTGAAGCTTTCTCCAGCATATTGTGCACCCCTAGGGTTTTTTATATGTAAATATTAACTGCTTATGCCATAACATACAGGCTGCTCAGGGTGTGGATCTATTTTAGCTGATAGAATATTAACCCCTTTGGAATTTCCTGTTCTCTAGGTGCTTGGCTCCCCTCACCCCGATGTTGCTCTAATGCTACTTTGCAAGCAGCATTGCTGGGTGAAAAAGTACCACGGGGGAGATGAATGCACAGCATCCTTAGTCCGGCTGGTTTAGTGCTATCAGCAGATGCTCTGGAAAGAGCACAGTCACGCCATGCAGGGTGTACATGCTGCATTGGGCAGTAAATGTAGATAATAAGCATTTGGCCCAGCTCAGTGCCACTTTTACAATTGCACAGGACTTCGCCAACACAATCCCGGGGCATGGCGGAATCATGGATCGCTTTGACTGTCAGTATCTGATGGCGACTTTCGTCAACGTGTACATTGCGAGTTTTATCAGGTATTCTTTGTTGCTTCATGCCAAGACTTAGCAGTCCCAAAGAGCATAACGTCTAAATACACAAGGACAAAAGGTGGGTGGGGAAAGAGACTGTCTTGCCCAAGCTCATGTGGCAGAGCCAGCAGTAGCATCTGTTTCCTGCACTCCTATCCTGTGTCCAACCCCCTGACCCATGCTGCCGCCTTGCCTCCTCAGAGCAGGTACTGAGGAATAACTCTTGCCCATTAGTCGGCTGATGCTGAGTGTAGGAGCATTGGGCCTTGGCAGGCAGCTTTATAATGCACTGGAAAGGAAAACCATTGGCACGGAGGGAGGGTTTGCTGTTTTATTTGAATTGATATATATTTTTTTGGATTTTAGGGGACCTTCTAATGGGATGGAGGGAGAGGGAGGGATAGTTTCTTCCAGTGACTTGAAACTGAAGACTCTATACATGTCCCTTCTTTGGGTGTCTCTTTCCTCACCTGGAAAATGGAGTCCAGAGAATGAGGCTTGCCTTTTTTTTAAAATGCCGAGGGATGGGGATTGTGTTTAAGGATGTTTAAAGCCAGGCATTTGCTAGACAACCAGATTCTTAGGGCCTAGAATTAAGACGTGTTGCAAACGTTCTTTCTTTGGTTGTTGCAGGGGTCCTAACCCAAGCAAACTGATCCAGCAGCTTTTAACTCTGCGGCCCGACCAGCAGGTCTACATTTTCAACACATTAAAGGCGCACCTTGTTGATAAGGGTATGTTGGCCAGTTCCGAGGATGCATAGGCATCCAGGCAGTTGGAACAGGACTGAAAAAAAGGGCAAGTCTCCCAAGGAAATCCCAGCTCACCTGACTTAAGACAATAATAAGGCCTCATTTCACTGTTGGCTTTTTTTCCTTGTAAATGTTTGCATTTGTGGGGTCCTGGGTATTTTTATAATATGTATTTATATGGCTTTGGTTAAAATAAGCAAATGGGGGTTTGTAGCTAGAAAGGAATCAAGAACTGAAGGGATCGTAGTGCAAAGATGTCGTCTTGGATCTGCATTTCAGCTCTTGTCTTCACGTTCCAAGAGATGTGTCTACACTGGGATATGTGTGTGTTTGTCTGCCTAGGTGCGGCTTCGTGAGTGTAAACTCTAGTGAAGATGACACAGGCACTTGTGCATCAGTATCTCTGACCCTGCCAGGCTGTGACTATACTAAGAAAATTGGAAGCCATGCAGCTGTCAGTGTTATCGATGTAGAATAGAGAGTGGACTGTTTTTTATAATGTTGTGTATTACTGACTGTAGGCTAGAGGAATGGGGGACCTGTAATTATCCACTGGTGGTAGCTGTACTGGGAATGAATTTGAGTCTTCTTTTCCCTAGTATAGTCATATCCTAGGTATGCACAGACCTTCTTGGAGATTTCTCTGCAGAAAGCTCAACAAATCTGAAGAAGATATTTGCTCTTAACCTGCTATATCAGATCCACACAAGGAGAGATATGCATCCACTTTGACTTGCCATATTTGTAGTACCTCACACATTTCCCCCACTCCAGCAAATATTTAAATAAAGTAGATTTTAAACCTTTTTTTTTTTTTTTTTACTGTGCCATTTAAGCAAAAATAGATCCAACTAATTTCTAACATCAGGGACAAGAATACAGAAAGGGGAATACGTGAGGTACAAGTTGTGTCAAAGTTGAATCAAATAACTTGAATGCTTTTTAAAAACAAATTTTATTTAAGAAATCCTGCTGAGGAAGAACAATTTTTTTTAAAGTGTTCACTTTTTCATAGCTTCTTTTTCACCCAGAGCAAAATATATAGAGATGTTTTAAAGCATGGAAGCATGAAAATGTCTCTTGAGAGTAGGAAACACCTCACCCTGATATTTTAGCCGTTTGAAGAGTTATCGCTGAATTTTATTTTCCTATTTGGAAGTCCAGTGTGGCATAGCAACCAGCTGGCTCCGCTGTTTTTTGAGGAGGGGGCGGGTTTCTGGTTGGGCGAGGGTTGTTTGGATTCTTTTGTTTGTTTTTTTTGTTTTCAGGGATCATGTCTGCCAATGACGTATTACTTGAGTTCTAGACATCATGCTGCTGAGGTTGCATATTAGTCTAGGGTTTTCAGCTTCTAGGTTTTTCTCCCTTCTCTGTTACTGACTGTCTTGTTTTTTGTATGTTGCACTTGCTGTTTGGAAACATGAAATGTTTTCCTGGTATTGCCCTCTATTTCTTGACTTCAAACATACCATATTTTTTAAAATAAATAAATGGAAACTCCCATCGGAGGTTTCCAAGCTTCAGGAATGATAACTTGTGACCTAATAGCACAAAATTTCATTTTAGTAGTGGGTTGTATCAACATTGTCATGTACTAGGGACTCTTTATTTTACTGTGACTTCTCTCTGTTGTTTGAGTGCGATCCAGGCTGTTATGAGAAATACATTTTTACATACTTGTTGAATCTGGGGAACAATTGACAGGGCAAGACAGATGATGCTGTTGGTGTCTTGAAAGCAAGTCACTATCCTAAATCTTCAGCACAGATCTATATTTGAAGCTACCAAACATAGCAACTGAAAATAAAGTACCCCGTATGCTTTATTTCCTAGTCTACTGCTTCCACTTACCTCTAGTGTCTTTTTATCTTGATAGCAGCACTTCCACCTCTCCCTGGGCTGGAGTTGTGGAGGGCAGAGATTTGCCTCCCCAGTGCTACACAAACTAATATTTGATCAAACTCAAAATCCCCAGTGAAATGCAATTTAAGGGTCTGATTCTGCACTGTGTAAGGCATCCTCAGCTAAAATCAAAGATGCTCCGCAAATTGCAAGACTTGGCACTTTTGCTCTGGTCCCAATTCAGGGTAATATTGAATCATTTTTGGTTAATTTTTAAGCTTATGCTTTCCCGAGCTCGAAGCTTAGAACCCAGTACCATGTCCACTGAAATCCATGGGAGTCTTGGTTTTTGACATAAGGGGCATTGAGTTCAGGCCCTCTGGTTTCAGAGGAGATTTAGGAGGTTGTCAAACCTTTCTTCCCGTAGCTGATTCAGTTTCCTTCTTTGGGGGTTTCATCTGGCATAACAAAAGTTTCTTCTCTTTTGGGTACTTCTTGTCTGATACCAATATCTGCCCAAATTCTTGCCTATTAACATCTGCTCCGACAGGTCCATTATCAAGTGGACCTACAATACCATCTATTAAATATGATTACAATGTATTGCTGTATAGAAAAAACGTTTTCACCTGTTTTCATGTGAGAATTTGGTCTCCTGCCTTCATCTGTTCTACATCTTCACACTTTTTTTTAACACTTATTAAGTGTAAATGTTGTTTTTGAGGATGTGTATGACTTTCAACTATAGGATTTGGGTTTTCTTGTGGCTTTTTTTAAAATGCTTATTGTGAACACTGGAGGGCATAATGTGTTCATGAGAGTCTCCAAACTCATATGAGATGGATGTAGCCATCCCCATATCTAATTAAACCTTGCTTAACTAGAGGTTTTTTTCATACATTTCCTCTACTTATGTCATCGCCTCAGCCGTGCAGTGAAGTTGATACTAACCTTCAAACCCATAAGGAATCCTGATGAATTAATTCTATCCGTCAAGGCACTAATAAGCACTGTTACCTGGTAACTTGCTGTGATGAAGACCGCTTTTACTAATTCTCATGGGGCAGGAAGTGTGCAGCATGAGTGTACAAGAACTACAGTGGTTAACATCCAAGGGACTATGGGCAAACACCCTGTGTATGCTAAACAGAAGTTGAGAAATACCTGAAGGTAGAATTTGCCTCCCTTTTGCATAGCTCTGTGGTGAAGCCTTTCCTCATTACACAAATCCCATTGCTTTATTAAAAGTCCTATATTTCTTCCCCAACCCCCATACACAGCAGAGTTTGGATCATAGTGGAAATTGGCTCTGAAACAGGTTTACAAACCAGATAATTTCAGCCTGTGCATAGTCACTGCATGGCGACACAGTGAGTGCAGGTAATCCCATTGTCTAGCTTCTGAGCAATAACATTCTTAACCCCCTATGTGCTGGTAGTTTGCCCTAAGGGGCTTCAATTAGTCATTCCAAAATCAGGCCACTCTTGGAAACTTGCGGACTAAGTGACTTACCTGAGGCCACAGAGGAGATGGTAGTTAGTGTGGGCCAGAGATTAAAAACCTTGGAGTTGTACGGTTTGGGTTCTGGCCTGCACAAGAAGGATTTGAGCCAAAAACTTTTTGTTGACATGAGGCAAAATTAGTCAGGGTGGAAATCGGAATATTAAGAGTGTGCTTTGGAGTCCAGCAACTTTAACATATGTATCTTTGTATATTGTGCAGATAACTAGGTTGTCGGTCTTAATACAGCTCTTGTGAGGCCTTAGATTTAGTAACCCTGAACAATTAGTGTGTAGTCGTGTGCTCATGAGCCACACTGCTAACAGCAGAGCTGCCTTGGCAAGATTTTCATAGAGGAGTTTTTCATCACAGCTGAAATGTACAAAATCAAGACCCTCTGCAGGTTACCTGAATGGTAGCTGCTTTGTGAGCACAATTAGGTTAAAGGAAAGGCTTGCTGTACAGTGAGAGAAACTGCAAAAGCAAGTTCTGATGCATAAGAACAATTGGTTGAAGGGCGGATTCCACAGATCTGGGGCTGTCTGAGCTAGGAGGAAGGAGATGTTCCTCCTTGCCAGTCTCGGAATTAACCCAAAAGCGTAGAGCTTCCTTACTTTCTGTTTAGGGCTCTACACGTGAGCTGGCTCTGAAACCACCTGCTAGCAAGGCTGGCAGAGTAGAAAGGGGCAGGAAATGTTTGAAGGGATTTTTTCGACTGCTCTACTAAGTGAGGAGACTGCTGGAATCTGAAGCCCTTATGTGGGAACTGGTCACATCCACAAGCAGAACAAGGGGTCCTAAAACATTCTGCTTGGAGAGAGGTGTCTCCAGAGCCGGTGGTGATGGTAGGTAGATCATATGGCCGTGCTAGAAGCTAAGGATGTGAATGGTTAACTGGTAAGCATCACCCTTACTGCCTTACCAGTTATGGTTAACCGGCAGCCTGGCTGGGCTGGAGCAGCATCCCTGCTTGCCCGTGGTGTGACCTGTTGGCCTAGCCAGAGAAGCTCGCCATCCACTCCTGTTTAAGTGGCTAATCAGTTAAAAATAAGGTTTAACTGATTAAATGGGATTCTGCACCCCTACTAGAAGCGGCTAAGTGATGTGAAGGTTAGAAGGTGCCTTGAGAGCAGCGATGGTGAGTAGGGGATGAGAAGGCAGGCAGGGACTGGAGCTGAAATGGGCTGGTAACAGGGGATGGCGAGTCATTCTGAAGGCAGACTGTGCTTTTACAAATCCCTTGAGATGCTTTCTGAGCTAAGTGGACATGTAAGCAAGCAGTGGATGGGCACAGCAGCTGGAACTTGTGGGAATCCAGTGTCTTCAGGTGTCTTGATCCACCCAGTGTCCAGTCATCTGTCCTGCTTAAATCCATTTAATTCCCAATAAGTGCCCTTTGCTAGGGTGATATGTGAAAGGCTGTTAGTGTGTTTGGTGACTCTGTGTGTCAGGACAATTGCTCTTTCCTTTGAGACTTCATCGTTAGCAAACCTCCGTCCTTCACAGAAGCTAGAATCCCACTGCTGCCTGTGTATGTGCTGAGTTCTCCTCACACCTGAGGTGAAAACCGGACTGCAGGAGTGAGGGAATGGCATGTGTTGTCTACTCAGAATAAAGCCAGGGAGCTGGACTTCAGTTTGCAGTCAGGAGATGTGATTGGCTGAATACTGAATGGTGGTTTCTCTCCTTGCCTGCGAAATGAAGAATAAGGCAGTTCGGGGGTCTGCATGGGCCAGCTGGAAAAACAGACAAGCTGAGGCTTTTCAAACGGCCAGCCCTTTCCAAGAAGGCCCTTGTTTTCAAATGCAGGCAGCCTGCTTGCAGTGTGTATCTTCTTACAGCTGCACTTCTAGAGGAGATGTGGCCTAGCAATGGTTCCAGAGATGCTCTGTCAGGCCCTTCAGAGCCCACCCCTCCTGCCATTCTGTGGCTGTCTCCTGCATCTCTTAGAATCACTCAGCTGGGCCCTACCAGAGCCATTCCAAATCTGCACCTCCTCATGCATGCACAAGATACGAGAGACAGGGTGGGTGAGGTTGGTCCAATAAAAGAGATCAACGCATCCACTTTTCTTATCTTATTCTTACATCAAATGGCAGCTTAGACCCAGCGCTCGGGAAAGCAGTAGCAGACTGAAGGCTTGTCATGTACTGTGGGTGGAATGGAACAGTAGCCTTTCAGTTAGGGGTTTGAAGAGAAAACAAGGCAAGTTTGATAAATGTGAGCAATGTTTAAAATGCCGGAATGCCAATTGGAGCACTGCCTACAGGCAGGAGCAGTCTGAGGCCGGCTGCAGCAGCTGGCGCCCCAGGCAGGTGGTGTAATTGGCGCCTCCGCCTGTACGGCCGTCAGTGACCATGATGTCATCATCGGGCACCTGGGCCAGTGGCGCTCTAGGCAACTGCCTAGTTCGCCTAGGCTCACGGGCTGCCCTTGCCTACAGGCAGGCTGGTTTTGGTTCTAAGCAGCTACACGCCGGTCGCCAATTGCTTCTGAAGCTTGGAGCAATTTAGCTGGTGTTTCCAACTTGACACTGGCTTCTCCAGCCTCAGCTGCTTCCCAAGTCATGCTGTGGATTAGACACAGCTTGAATAGCGGTGGCCCAGAATGCACAGCACAATCTCATTACGGCCCAGGTTCTGCTAGGGTTACTCCGGTTGAGTGGTTTCTTAGTCCACAGTGGTATCTTCCCTGTGTGCACTCCCATGGTCCTAATGAGGCCTACTCAGCGAGAGTATAAATCTGCAGAACCTAGCCTGCAGAATCTGCTCCCATTGGATTGAACAGGGGATTTTGCTACTGACTTCAGTGGGAAATCCTACAATACCACAGAAGCTCCAGTAAGTGCACTGCAGAGATTTTTGAGAACTGTTGATTTCACATGGATAAGGGTGGGTCTCCTAGTTTGCTGCATTCATCGGACTCCTGCAATATCAAATGCCAAGGCAGTCACTGCGTGTGATGAGGGGAGAACTCTCCACCTGCTTGCAAAAATCTTTTCCTGCTCGTTCTGTACATTTGGAAAGTAGATGTAACCATGAAACACCCATCCGTGGTGGTCATCAACACCTATTGGGGGAGACAACTTTTAAAATTGGAGTCAGCATGCATCTGCCATCATAAGCTGTAGTGTACCTCTTGACACAGTAGTTAACCCCCGAGTTACATTTTTGTACTACAGTAATTTTCACCCGAGTTACTGTATCTCAGCTCTGACGTGTCCTCTGCCATCCATTTACTTCTCCGTGCATTGTTTTTGATCAATGTTTTAGCAATACATGTAGACTTGCCTTTATTTGGTTGAATGTCAGAATGTGATATATTGTATATTTTAAAGCATTTACCATATTTATATACTGTATGTTACTGTTAAATAAATATGTAAGTTCCATTATTTGTGGCAAAGTTATTGATGCTGGTGGGGAAGGAGCTGTTTGATGTTGCCTAAATTGGCATTGGTCTCTCACTTTTTTCTTTGACTGCTAATAGCGACGCCTTGGAGGGGTTGGATAACCTCTTCTTTGTTCTGGTAACTAAGATTCCACCTGTTTCAAACCTTCTGTCATTTTTAAGAGGGAACCAAGTTTCTCATCCCGAAATGTCCTCAGTTATTGGAAACTTAAATGGCTAAGAGCATTTTTGGAAGGACTATTAAGCCTCTTACAACGGGATCTCCAAGGATTAGAGACCTGCATTGAGGTTCTTGCACCTGCCTCTTGAGACAGCTCGTACTGGCAACTGTGATGCTCCATCCATGGACCGTGGGTTTGGTCAGTTTGCTGAGCTGTTTCTGACCCCAGACTCCTGACGTTGGTTTTCCTTTCCAGAAGCACTGAGCACCTGCCCCGCCC